TTATTTTAATTTTTTTAATTTATTTATTTGATTAAGTAAATTCAGCTTGGTGAGAATAAGGGACTTTAAAAAACATTTGCAAATTTTATCAACTCCAAACTTTTAAACAGATGTGTATACTATACATTTTTTGGTTATATTTAGAATATACTTCATGTGTATAATTATACTTTTGTTCATTGTTAATTCATGTTTGCCCCAGTGAAAAATAAATATACTTAAATGTATTTGATATACATTTATTTCATACTAAGTATACTTCAAATACATTTTCATATTTATGTACTTATTAGAATGCCCTGCAATTGTACTGTTAGTATACTAAACTAGTATACTTAAAGGTGTAATAGGTGATTGTCTTCAGAGACATTTTTTGTTATGCTGGTTGAAAGTCTCTTCACATCCCGATAGCAATCATTAAGTTAAGTGGTCTAAATGTATTCATCCGTATTTATATATTCTGTGGAAGGCGTAGGCCCACTGGTCTGTGAGTGAGCGTATATGCATTCAGGGGGCGTGGCTTTGGACGGCGATTGCAGGGAGGGTGGGACATTCGCTTTCAGTGCTATCAGGCTAAAGTTAGCATTTTCCAAGATCTCCTATTGCACCTTTAAAGTCTGCTAAATTGCTAAATATCTAATTTAAAGACCGATTATTATTCACAATCCTCATCAAAAGTGACATTAAACACATTTGAGGCTTATTAATAAGAAATATAGCATTGTGCACAAGTAATACTACAAATAAAGTTTCATTAAAATTTTTTATATCAGTAAGTCTCGAGTTATTGGTCAGTAAATTTGTTAATAGATTTGAACTATACTTAGTATGAAATCAATGTATTTTAAATATATGACTTTTTTTACTAGGGTGTTAATAAGACATTAGGTAATGTTAATTTATACAACTTCGGATGTTGAAATGAACATTAACCTAGATTAATAAATGCTGTAAAATGTTGTTCATTGCTATTTCATGTTCGCTGTTGCATCAATGGTAATGTATAGAACCTCATTGTAAATTTATAAAAATAGAAATTTCTATATACAAATTATATGTAATATAAAATGTAGTTAAAAGGTTTAATACTTTGTAATCAAGCATAGACAATTACAATTTCAGTTAGAAGAAATACATCCGGTGTTATTTGCTTGCAATATGCCAAATCTGAAGGATACAATAAAATAAATAAAATGCTACTTTTGGCCAGTAGTGGGAAAAAGCACTATTGACCCATATGGATCAAATACAACTGGCTGGAAAAAGAGCAAGTGCACCGTTTGATAGTGTGTTCATACACAGAGGAAGCTGATTTTCTGCTGTCAGTATTATCAAGAGTAACAGTTTTCTTTTTCACTCTACCCATGAACCTAAATGAAACTCATTTGCTCCATTCATTCAACTGGCTACACACGAAAGACCAGCCGTCGCAGGCCACCATAAATCATTCCCTCTCAGTCTCAACCCGATTCGCTTAATTCCATGTCATATAAACGTTAGCTCCCTCTCGATGCATTCGTGCTCCTTCAGAGCGTGGCCGGGGCCCGCACATTTTTTCTGCTGATTTGTCGATTGCTGTTGGCATGTTTTGTGTGGTTCTGGGTGGCTGCCAGGTTGATTCTCAAAGAACACTCCCCAGGCCTGCACAGACAGATGGCACTCCCTTTCTGCCCCTTCCCACAAACCTACAAAGAGCCTCCTTATTTGACTGCTTTAACCGGCCGCTGTTGAATGGACAGAAACTATACAGAGAAAAGAGCTTCTGATTAGATAGAAAACCAATCGTCTATCTGGGAGAGAAATTATTAGCGGATGATAAAGTGACGTGAAAACTGTCTACTAAAAATGGCTGTAAAAATCTCTGTTTCATTCTCATAAACAACACTGATTGCTTAATGCGGTGATTTGATGTTTTTCATCATCAACCCCAGTTATAATGTGACAAATCTGTTTATGTTGTGTGTTACTCCAGATCTTGATGGTTTATTTAGATTATGTCAAGTGTTTTCAAGTAAACTGATTAATCATCATGAACCCTTTGTTAGTGAAGTTGTACAGTGAAGTTATTGTTTTTGGTCATCAGCAGAAAACTAAATATGTTGAGTCATATTACCAGCAAAGCATGTTGCAGGCTTTTAGTGTTTGTCATAATACTTTCCTCTAAAGAGTTTCCCTCTACCTCAGGATTTTCTAATCAGATTAACAATGTAAAAACATGATCCTGGAGTGCGTAATTAGCTCATGACAATAAAACACATCCCCACATTCTCATTGTCAGGGTTATTATCGTTTTTATTATCGTCATTTTAGCTAGTTGCCAAAGTAACATTTCTCAGTTAGCTTACATTTGAAGTAAAATAACTAAAACTAAAGAGTAAATATTAATAAATCTATATAGACATGTTTAAAAAAAATGGCAAAAGAGGACAACAAAATTTATATAAAAATATAAAAATTATAAAAATTAAATTAATTAAATCATAAATTGTTTCTGAACTTTCCAATATGTGTGCAAATAAAAATGCAAACAAACATATAATGCAAACAATAATATAATAATATAATAATTAAATATAATTATGTCTGACTGGGATTCTGTAGGACTGGGATTGAGCCCATATCAATGCAGCTAGTTTTTGAAATGAATTATTTTGAAATCTTTTGTAATGATCGCAGTTCAGCTGGATTAATGTCTACTCGTATGAAAGTGTAGTAGAACCTGGAATCCTGAAATTAATTTCATTGCAGCTTCTTGACCAGGGTGAAATCGGTCCAGTCTGTGATGCTATGCATATTAATACTATATTATGAAATAACAATAATGAAATAACTCACACTGTGAGCATTTGAATATTTTAATAAATATATAATAGAGAAAAAAGGCATTGCACATGACATTTATTTATATATGTTGTGGCCATGAATTAGGAATTCATTACCATCATGACTTATTAATTTGTTCCCTCATTTCAGTTAAATTGTTGCCCCATATTAAGAATCCATTCCCTTGTTTTAGTAAATTGTGGGCATATTGTACTACTTTGTTCTCTCATTTTAGTTAAATCAAAACCAGGGAATGGATTAGTACAACATGTTCATGATTTACTAAAACGGGGTAACAAATATCTATGTTGGGGGAACAAATTCTTAATTTTTATATTTTTGTCCTCGTGTCGTGTGCGAGGCTCCAGAGATTTGTACTCCTTGTACTTTCACTCAGTTTGAGAGCTGTTCTACTTGTGACTGTCTTCTTTGCACAGACTGACTGTACTTTGTGTCCACTCTCTCAGGTATTAAATGAAGCAGTGGGTGCTCTCATGTACCACACCATCACCCTGATGAGGGAGGACCTGGAAAAGTTCAAAGCACTTCGTATAATTGTCTGCATTGGGAGCGGCTTTGATAATATCGACATCAAGTCTGCTGGAGACTTAGGTAATGGTTAAGAAGGTTTTCTTTTACATCCCACACATTGCACAACAGTGTGTGTGTGTGTGTTTGCTGTATGAAGAGTCTGACCGTAACCCGTCCTCATCTGCAGGAATAGCAGTCTGCAACATGCCAGCAGCTTCAGTCGAGGAGTCCGCAGACTCCACCATTTGTCACATCCTAAACCTGTACCGACGCACCACCTGGCTGCACCAGGCTCTCCGGGAGGGCACGCGGGTCCAGAGCGCGGAACAGATCCGGGAGGTCGCGTCGGGGGCGGCCCGGATCAGAGGAGAGACGCTGGGGATCATTGGCCTAGGTGTGTTGTCTCGCATAGCCAGACGTTTGACTCTCGACATGAAGTCTGATCCACTTCGCTGTGTATTCTGGCCAAGAACCGGCCACTTAGACAGAAAGAGATCCTCTGAACGAGATATACAGTGGGGAAAAAAAGTATTTAGTCAGCCACCAATTGTGCAAGTTCTCCCACTTAAAAAGATGAGAGAGGCCTGTAATTTTCATCATAGGTATACCTCAACTATGAGAGACAAAATGAGAAAAAAAAATCCAGAAAATCACATTGTAGGATTTTTAAAGAATTTATTTGCAAATTATGGTGGAAAATAAGTATTTGGTCAATAACAAAATTTCATCTCAATACTTTGTTATATACCCTTTGTTGGCAATGACAGAGGTCAAACGTTTTCTGTAAGTCTTCACAAGGTTTTCACACACTGTTGCTGGTATTTTGGCCCATTCCTCCATGCAGATCTCCTCTAGAGCAGTAATGTTTTGGGGCTGTCGCTGAGCAACACGGATTTTCAACTCCCTCCAAAGATTTTCTATGGGGTTGAGATCTGGAGACTGGCTAGGCCACTCCAGGACCTTGAAATGCTTCTTACGAAGCCACTCCTTCGTTGCCCGGGCGGTGTGTTTGGGATCATTGTCATGCTGAAAGACCCAGCCACGTTTCATCTTCAATGCCCTTGCTGATGGAAGGAGGTTTTCACTCAAAATCTCACGATACATGGCCCCATTCATTCTTTCGTTTACACGGATCAGTCGTCCTGGTCCCTTTGCAGAAAAACAGCCCCAAATTCTTTAAAAATCCTACAATGTGATTTTCTGGATTTTTTTTTTCTCATTTTGTCTCTCATAGTTGAGGTATACCTATGATGAAAATTACAGGCCTCTCTCATCTTTTTAAGTGGGAGAACTTGCACAATTGGTGGCTGACTAAATACTTTTTTGCCCCACTGTAAAGTAACCAGCTGTTTGTTTTGTTTTTATGTGCTGTTTAGGGGTGAGTAAATCTAAATACATTGATTCAGACAGAAAAAAACCCCAAAACATTTGAAATTCTATTTATGGAGCCACCGGTGGCTATGAAGATAACAGAGAGGAAACTATTGGTAATGTGTGTAGACTATGTGATCTGCATTTCTGTAATCATTACAGAATTCATCGCTCAGCAATAAGGATTTTTTTTTCTGTTGGTCTGTGGACTTCTGCAGCCACAATTTTTTTATTTTTATTTATTTATTTATTTTAGAAGAATGAATTATATATATATATATTGCTCAGAATCAGTAAGATTTTTTTAAAGAAACAAATACTTCAATTAAAGAATATGTCAAACAATTCTGAATTTTTATAAGAATTGTTTGACATATTCTTTAATGAATATATATATATATATATCTCACAGGTTTATTCAAATATTATAAAATAAATAGCAGTGCAACTGATAATAATAATTTCAACATTTATAATAATAATAATAAATGTTTTTTGAGCAGCAAATCAACATATTAGAATGATTTCTGAAAGATCATGTGACTCTGAAGACTGGCGTAATGATGCTGAAAATTCAGGTTTGCATCACAGGAATAAATTACATTTTACAATATATTCAAATAGAAAACAGTTATTTTAAATTGTAATAACATTTCATAATATTATTGTTGTTACTGTATTTCAAGTGAAATAAATGCAGTCTTGTTGAGCATAAGAGTCTTCTTTCAAAAATATTTAAAAAGTCTTCCTGAGCTCAAACTGTTACACAGAAGAAATAATACATAAAATAAGCTGTATACATAATAATATAACTCATTTAATTCCTAAACACCCTTTTGCTTGAAATTCAAAACAAAACAATAAAACAAAGCTCACAGAGGCTCGTAAGGACTCATAGTGTAATATTGGGACCTTTTAAATAAAATTTTTCCCCCAGGCTGTAGGAAAAGTAACATAACTACACACATTTTAATGAAACCTGTTTTTTTTTTTTTGTAGAATTGTCATTTTGTCATGACAGTGACAGGCATTGAACTAATGTAATACAAAAAAAAGTCCTTTCATTCAAGTGATATGTCTGCTCTCAGGGCGTGTTGGACAGGCAGTGGCGCTGAGGGCCAAAGCATTCGGCTTCAACGTGATCTTCTACGACCCGTACCTGTCTGACGGGATGGAGCGAGCCCTGGGGCTGCAGAGAGTCAACACCCTGCAGGACCTGCTCTTCCACAGCGACTGCGTCACCTTTCACTGCAGCCTCAACGAGCACAACCACCATCTCATCAACGACTTCACCATCAAACAGGTGCCGCCTGTAGCCACTCACAAGCACAAGAGCATGCATGCGCTGGAGCCACAGCTGTGTATCATCATTACTGTGTGTTGATCGTAGATGCGTCAGGGCGCCTTCCTCGTGAACACGGCGCGTGGCGGTCTGGTGGATGAGAAGGCTCTGGCCCAGGCTCTGAAAGAGGGCAGAATACGGGGAGCAGCCCTGGACGTCCATGAGACAGAGCCCTTCAGGTGAATAACAGTAATGTGATGTTTAAGAATCGTGTTGTTTTGACATTTGGATGGATTGCTTGCTCCAAACCACACCCTGCCTCTACCGTTTTTTTCGCGTTGTTATTTGGCTTCAAACCCTACAAAACATGCGTCTGTTTGCTACAAATATCTGCAAAGAATGCGAGTTGTTTCCCAAAGGCAGTTTCAAAGGAGACAAGCAGCAATAAGAAATGACGCCATAAATAGTGGTTCACTTTTGAAAATGAGGTTAAATTGCTCTAATTTCTCAATTGTGAAAGCCAGTGTTATTTTAGTATTGCAGTAAGTATATATATTTATTATTTTAGTATGTATATACTATTATAATTTTTAATTAATATTTTCTATATATTTTTTCAGTTTTCGTTGTAATTTCAGTTACATTTTTAGTAATTTTTTGTGCTTTTGTCATTTTTATTAGTGTTTTTTAAATATTACTATTTATCTTTAATTTGTTTTTAATTTCAGTTTTAGTTTTGTTTTATTTAATTTCAGTGCTTCAGCTTATTTTAGTAATAATTAGGGCTGTCAATCGATTACAATTTTTAATCTAATTAATCACATCCTTTTTCTGTGATTAATCGCGATTAATCGCACACTTCATGAAATTAAGCATAGACAATTTATCTTGTTTCAAATGTTTATGTTGTCATAATTTGCTATATCCAGCAAAGTAAACCAAAAGATTGAAGGGTGATTCTCAAAAATCTATATTTTCTGCAAGCTTTTTTCAAGATAAATTTAGATATCTTTCCAAAAAAGGACACTTAGAAACTCCAAAAGGACACCAAAGAACCAAATGATATAAAGGAGCCCATATAAGCACATATGAAAGAAAAAAAAATCTGAATTTTATAGTATGTGTACAGTGCAACACCAAAGAGCTTTTTTACATTTTAGAGAAGCCAAGTTCGATGTAATCAGCCTGGTTTCCTTTATATTAGCGCTGTTTTGGACGGATTGTTTGAATGCAATCGTTTACTGGATCATTGGACTGAAAACGTTCCCGGAGTTTAGCGGCTTAAAATTATCGAATCGCAAACAGAGAAGCAAAATTGGGTTAAAGGGTTAGAATAGAAATTGTGCTTTAGTAATTTTGCGTTAATTGCGTTAAATTATTTTAACACGTTAAGGATTGAAAAATTAATCACATGCGTTAACGCGTTAACGATGACAGCCCTAGTAATAATATTTATATTTTATTTTATTTCAGATTTATTTCAAATAACGAAAAATATTTTAAGTAGTTTTATATTCAATTAGGTCTAAAATGCAATTAATTACAATATGTGCCGATTAATTCATCTTAATTATTCTAGGGATGCACGATATTGGATTTTTGCCGATATTCAATATTTTTCAACTCATTTTTGCCGATACCGATATACTTCCTTTTGTTGAGAAACAACACCAAGTCTCTCCTGTGCAGAGATTCTAAACAATGTTTTTTTTTAAATTTTGGTTAGTTTTTAACAAAAACAATATAAACAATAATGAAGTTATTTTATATTGAGAGTACGTTGAAAGCTTTGAAAATAACTATAAATCAACTATTTATCAACTATTTATCTATTTATTATTTTTCAGACAGATGCATTGGTGACCTTAACATTTTGGTTTGAAAATGTAATATTTGTAGATGGTCTAAAGCAAAAGAGTTGACCTTTAAATCAAAACATACTCGTAATTTTATGACATCAATTACTGCTTTATTTAATCAGAAACACAATCTTAAATTTATTTGTGTATTTTACTTTCATTTTATTTACAAGTAGGCCAACAGCGCCGCCTAAGTAAATAAACGCCTTACCGGATGGGCATTAGGACCTGGGAGAGGCTGTTGTTGTTGCTGCTGCAGGTGCTAGTGACTGTTGACTTTATCCCGCAAAAGTTTGCTTCAAGAATGACCACACTGTTGACGTGATTTTAGCGCTAGCACACCCTGAGCACATGTGAGTTATTCGTCTTATCGGCAAGGCATATCGCATAATTTTTCATATCGGGCCGATACCGATATTTACATTTTAATTATTACATTTTAATTACATTTTATTATTCTGATAACGTTCTGATAATATCGTGCATCCCTAAATTATTCACAAATTAATCGCACATCAATTTGGGCTTAGAGAAGACCCCCCCAAAAGTCATTATTGTGTTAAATAAGAAAAGCTTGGAAAAAAAATAGGATTATTGTGTTAAATAAGAAAAGCTTTGAAAAAAATAGGATATTAAAATATGAAATGATACTCTAAATATGAAACTAAAACTGTCATTCAATCAATTCATTCAAACAACTGATTCATTCAGAAATGAAGCAGGTGACTTTTTATGAATGGCTCACTGAATCATTGGCTTACTAGATTGGTTCAATATCATGGATTCATTCAGTAATGAAACTGCTGTTTGTTGCTCAGAGACGCACAACAGTTGCGCTTTGGCTTTGTTTGGAACTATTTTACTTGGCAAAATTGAACGAAAGCAGACAAAATGTAACACAGTATTAACTTCTTGTTTATTGTATCGTTGTATAAGATCACTATCACATTTGCAATCGCCAAGATATTCTGATAAAAGTAGTACTCTTGCTTGGGTGATATTGATAAACTATAGGTAATTTTTTGCCCTCAGATGTTGAATTTTAGGGGCATATAACGCCGTTCTAATAGACTAGATCATACAGTCAGTCGTTATCCTGCATAATGTTCGACAGCAACTGCATGCAATGTAAAATGACATACAGGTTGCGTTAAATGCGCTGGCTAGTAACTGATTACATGTAGTCTGGATTACATAATCGGATTCCAGAAATCAAGTACTCGTAATTAGTAGTATAGTACATTTTATAATTCTTATAATCACGTTAAAGTTAGTTTTTCATGGATTACATGATAACATATTATTCACACAATGGCAGTAAATCATTGATAAATTATTGATTATCTCAAATTTTTATTTTAATCCTCTTTTTAAATGTTCCTTTCTGTAAATTCTACTGTGTGTCATACTATTTAGCTTTGAATACACTCACAGTATAGAATGGCCATGCAAATGTCATGTAAATAAAATTTAAATAAATGAAAAAATACCTCTCAAGCAATTAGACCATGCATGAAACAAATATTTATGATTGAATTATTAGCTTTTTATCAACTCACGAACCCACTGCAGTTTAATGTAACCGTGGTTTAATGTAATGTTTAATGTCTTTTGTAGTTTTGATATCAAAAACTTTAATATATTTTCTTTCTCTTTGCTTTTTAATATCAATATGGTGCAATTAATTAAAAAGTAATCTAAAAGTAATATAAAAAGAAGTCAGAAAACGTTACCTAAAATGAGTAACCTAGATTACGTTACTAAGTACAGTTTCCATCATGGAACATACATAATCTGTAATCAGTAATGAACTACAATTTGTAAATAATCTGCCCAGCTGTGTGTATGTAAATATATATATATATATATATATATATATACAGTGGTGTGAAAAAGTGTTTTTTTTTGTTTTTGCATATTTGTCACACTTGTGAAATGTCCTTACACTGAGGTCATTCTCACTCAATGAGCGCGTCAGACTCTTATACAGCTGTATGTGTGTGTCAGTTTCAGCCAAGGTCCTCTTAAAGACGCGCCCAACCTGATCTGCACCCCTCACGCGGCATGGTACAGCGAGCAGGCCTCCATTGAGATGCGTGAGGAGGCGGCGCGGGAGATCCGTCGGGCTATTACCGGTACGTCAGCACACAACGTTATCAGCAACACTCTGTACTGCATTTGTCAAAAGATTCGAGAGCGCTGGGTGTCTGACCTCTTTCATCAGCCGAGTGAAATCCTTGCTCTTTCATTGCAGCTCTGCAGACTTGATGTGCTGTGATCAGTGACTCAGGGTTTGCTGTAATGAAGCTGTTTTCCTCCTCCAGGTCGCATTCCAGACAGCCTGAAGAACTGCGTCAACAAAGAGTTCCTCACACAGACCACGCACTGGGCCGGCTTGGACCCGGCCGTGGTTCATCCAGAACTCAATGGAGCCTACAGGTACAACAAACTACTGAATAATTCATTCATATTCATAACTGTATCCTACATTCATAACATTCGTAACTGAATGTAGGATACAGGTGGTGCTGTTGTTTTGTATTTGCACAGAAATTATTTACCAGGACTTCTAAGTAAAAGAATAATCCACAAATGGCCATGTAAGATTACTTTTACTATGGTTAAAATACTTTGGAATTCTCAATACATGCTCCTGGTCTTATTGCATGTTATTAGAAAATTCTTCTAATCTTTCTTCAATAAATGTCATAACTTGTAAAGCCTCTGAATACGTGCTAATTTACCGTTAGTTAATTTACCGATAAGGGTTCATTGCCCATTACGATATCTAGAGTGCAGAGTGGACAGTAGCCAGTATTAATTATATTTACTGTATATTAGGGGTGTAACGGTACACATATTTTCGGTATTGTTACTTTTGAAATGAAACAAAATCTCACCTTTCAAATTACGTCCATTTTTTCAGGAAATTTAAACAATAAATTGACGCTCTTTCCTGTGGCGTGACAGATCGCTGTATTACGCCTCAAACGGCAGCGCAGAGCGCGATCATCCCTTCCTCTTTACTACTGGTTTTAACATGAAATAAACATGAATGAACATCTCATGCCGTATGTAATCGCACAATCAGTGTTTCAACCGCGGAAAGACGTCAAAACAAAATGTCACATAGCATTTCATTGACCTCAGGCAAGTCATCAGTGTCCACAGCTTGTTAGTTTACTAGAGAAATTAAGTCTAGAGAAGAGCATTTTGAGAAATATTAGACTCTATTCTCATTATATTTTACTTTACCTGTTAGCAATGTCTTAATTATTCATTTGTGTTTAAATAAATCTGTTATGAAACAAGTTATGACAGCCATTGTGTAATTGAATATATTTCAACAGCAAATAGAAATTTTATAATTTAGAATTTCATTTAAAAATTGCATTATGTGAAATTTATGTTTGTATACAATTTGAGTGTTGATTATTATATTTAAAAATAAATAGTAATTAAATTTAAGTTTGGGCTCTGTTGTTAATTGTACACTTACAGTAATGTAAAAGGGCCCCTATAGTTTAGAGCATAAGCTGAGGTAGATTTTTTTCCCTAGGAAAATTTAAATTATAATTGAATTTATTTCAAGAAAGAGCAATTTGTTCAGTAAACCACTGTTTAATAAAAAAAGCAATTTTATGTTTAGTTTTTTCCCCCTGCTGTACTGAAATCATACCGAACTGTGACGTCAAAACCGAGGTACGTACCGAACCGTCATGTTTGTTTACCGTTACACCCCTACTGTATATAATAAATAATAATAGAATAGAATAATTCAAGAAATTGAAAACAGAAATTGATATCTACTGACAAAGTCATTCATTTTTAAAACAGACACACAGGGCATTTAAAGGATTACCCTGTTTTTTGATATTTGATTCATTTATGATTACTGGATAAGAATTTTTGAAATAGTTTTGATTCAGACAGATGAATCATTAATGAATCATTCAGACCAATATGTGAATATGTTCGACTGATTCATTGAAAAGAACCAATTCAAGTGAACAATTTGCTCATGAATCAATATGATATATAACTATTATAGAGTCTAGAGTATAACTATAATGCATATTCATGATAGAAATGTTTGAAAGGTTCATTACTTTTACCTGGTTTTATAGAAATTTTTTTTTTCCATGCCACAGTAAAGTCACTGTGACACACGGCTTATAAAAGACACACACACACACACACACACACACACAAAAACTTTTAATGTTTAGTTATATGGTTCATTAGCTTAACTGTTGGGTGTTTACGGTTGGTGTGCAAGTTGCTGCATTAATATACACGTTCAGAAGTTTGCAGTAACATTCTTTAATATTTATGTTTTTGAAAGATGTCTCTGATGCTCACCAAGTCTGCAATTATTTAATCCAAAATACCGTAAAAACATTACAATTTAGAGATATTATGACACTTTTGAATAACTGTTGTCTTTAATGATATATTTTAAAGCTGCAGTCTGTAACTTTTTTTGGTTAAAAATGATCCGAAATCAATATTTGAGCAAGTACATAACCAGCCAGTGTTCAAAACTGTCGCCTTACTTTAGCCCGATTCACAACGGTAAGCTTATAATAATGTTTTCTAATTTGAGTGGTACGGGTAGGTTTTCGCGGGAAATTCGAGCATGCTGCCGCGTCATTACCTCATGTCTGTAAACATAGAGAAGTTGTCCCGGCTATTATCGCATGTGAGGATCCTGCCAGTTCCGTGTTCGGAAAGGAAATGAAGTGTACTATGGAAACCCTAAAGGAATAAATAGGCTATGAGAAGGGAGGATAAAAAAAAATATTTCAATACTTTTTCTCTTCAGTTCGAAGGGAGCATAATTAGCTTTTTAGGTTAAAATAATTTCTTAATATGAAATTCGAATGGTATGACAATTAGAGATTAGACTGTACAGAAATCGAAATCTACTCGCTTATACACACTATTCTCATAGTCCCCAATGATGATGTTGTTAACATTTAACAATTTGAGAATAAAGTATAACAATAATAATAATTTGCACTGTTTGATGTGATATGAGCTAATTTAGATTAATATCCACACCGGTGCGGTGACTGACTGCCACACATTCACCTCAAAGCATTAGATTCATCTGCGCTGGAGCCGTGCCGCCGCACAACCCACGCAAAGGAAGATAATTCCGCACACAGCTGCAATTGCAGGTTTTCAAACAGAGATGGCGACAAAGAGGCAAAACTTGCGGACTGCAGCTTTAAATTACAATTTATTCCTGCGATGGCAAAGCTAATTTTTAGGGTTCTTTACTGAATATAAATTTCAAAAGCATTTATATGAGTGAAATAGGAATTTTTGAAAATTATACATGTCTTTACTGTCACTGTTGATCAATTTAATGCGAAAACGAAGCGTTTGAGAGAGGCGGGGCATAGAGGACCTACAATAATGTACAGTATTTTAAAAATAATGTGTTTTTTGAACATTAAAGCATGTCAACATCTTCTGTTACACCAAATACACTAAATAATGATCTTTAAAAAAGCATCATATGACCCCTTTAAAAAATAAAAAAAATTTACTGACCCCAAAAACAAAGTTTTAAACCAAGATTGTAGAATATGATGCATCACTACATATGTGTGATATATTTAAACGTGGCTCATCCAATCAGATTGTAGTAACCCTCCATTTATAATCCACATTTTTGCAATGCATTCCTTGGATGGCTTTACTGTAGGGGCCATCGCTGTGCTGCCGTTAATATTCTTCCCCTTCCTCAGGTACCCCCCAAGCGTCGTGAGCCTGGCTTCAGGGGGTCTGCCTCCACCAGTGGAGGGCATCATGCCAAGCACCGTGCCCATCGCCCACAGCCTGTCCACCGCAGCCCACCCTCCACACGCCCCGTCACCCGGCCAAACCGGCAAAGCCGAACCCGATAGAGAGCAGCACCCCAACGAACAGTTGTAGCCCCCTCTTCAAAGTACCACTATAGAACTCTCCTGGTCCTTCTTTACCCCAAAGAAGAGGAGCGCAAACAGGCTCCCGAGCTCAGAACCAGCCACTAAAAATAACCACGACTCCGAAGTAGCCAACTCTTCGACTGAATTTGGTGGACTGCGCTCTTTGAAGTGTCTAGTGGGAAAAAAAACAACAAAAAAGAGAAAATCTTGTGGATTTCAAACTTCTCCCTGATGCAAAATCCTGCTGTTTTAGATTGTAGTCTGTCCAAGTGCAGTGGGCGATCTTTTATCTGTTATTTTGTCTGTCTAATGGGTTTCATTAAAAACAACAGTAGCTATTACATGAATGTAACCTGTTTGTGTACAGTTTTTAGGACATCATCAGTGGTTTGTAGATGAGAAAAAAAAACTGAAACCGCATTAAGGGAGGCATCTTACCACCTGATTATAGATACCATAACAAAAAGCATATTAGTTTCGCTCGTTTGATTTTCAAAGCCCCGAAAGAGGCAGAATTTGCACACCCTCTCAGGAAAATTTATTTCCCCCCCCCTCCCTTCCTTTTAAATTAAACCACATAGTGCATTGTTTTTGTACCCATTTGTCTTTTGTAGTCAAATTTCAGTACAGTACTTTAAATAACTACACTCAGTATGTTTTTATTTTTAGAGCATGTATTACTTTATGTGTTAAAGGTTAAAAAGAAAACAGAAAAGTTCAGTTTTTGAACAAAAAAAAAAAACTAAAACAATTTGTCTTGTGCAAAGCTGGCGTAATGCTTGCCTGTTAGTGTGTGACTTGATTGTACCGTGTTTTTCGAGGATGCCGGGATACTTGCAGCTCTCCATCGCCTACATAGTTTCCTTCCTGGTAAAGTGGTAGGCTAGCAATATACATACTATATATACTATGAGATATTAATATTTTTCGTTAAACAGAATCCAAAAAGAAATGTTTGTGACTGTATGCATTTGTATGAATTATTTTAAATGAAATAAAAGTCCGAGTTAAACGACACGGCAGCGTTTCTGTGAGTTGCTCTCGCGCTGATGTCATGCCAGAACAAGAGAAACAGTGCAGGTTCAGGTTTCCTTTGTATTTGAACCCATTTCAGAATATAAACACAATCACTGTGAGCGTCCTCTTGTGGACGTTACTTCTGTAATATGCAGATCAAAAGGTACCAAACCAGGCATCATGCTGAAAATACTTCATACAGGGGAATTGGGATTTAACCTCAAAGCTGTGATCGAGCTCGCTCTGAAGAATTTGTATTAAAGGATTCGTTCACACAAATTTTATGAAATTTACTCTCTGTTCAAAACCCATGTGAAAATTGAGAAATTTTGAAGAATGTTCATTGGGTTTATCCAGCTCCAAAAAGGTTTTATTTAATAAAAAAAAAATAGAGAGAGAGCTGACAAAACGATTCATCGTGATTAATCGCATCCAAAATAAAAGTTTGTGTTTACATAATATACGTGTATGTACTGTCTATATTTATATGTAGGCCTATATAAATACACACACGTATATATTTAAGAAATGTGTATATATATTCATATTTATATATGATTTGTATATATATTCGGACTAAATCAACCTGACATTTTGATTGCAATTTTAATACATTTTTTTTTTTTAAAGGGAAAATCAATTAGAAAATATTGTAGAAATTGTAGGTTGCCAATTTTTTGGTGTAGTGAGTAACCATAACATGGATTTATAAAAGTAGAATTATCATTTTGGATGAAATTTGAAACACTTCGAGATCTGCCACCATCAAGTGCACAGAAACAATTCCCGCCCTATATTTTGTTTGATAATCCGTTTCACACCAACGTACATCACAATATGGTAAAAGGATCTGTCGTGACTTCCGATGCAAGTTTAAGTTCACAGAAAATGTTCTCCTTCCACTATAGCATTAAAATCTCACGAATACTCGCACATCATCAACGGCAAACTACATTACACCTTGCCTGTCTCATAACTGTTATATACTGAAGATACTATATGTTTTCATTGTGTGGAAAAGAGCAGCATGAACATTCCGCTAAATTTCTCTTTCTGTGTTCCACAATAGATTTCGGAATTACATGAGGGTGGGAAATTCTTTTTTCACTTTAGCTTGATCTACTTTAACACACAAGATAAAATCATCAAACCAGTGCACTAGCTAGCAAGCGCCTGTAAGTACGTGGTCAGAAGCGTTGAACTGGGAATGTTCTTTACACATTGAGGTGGGGGTAGTGATGAAACTGATCCCTGCACATGCGGTTTTCCTTCCAGCAATGTCTCTCAGCAGACCTCCATAATTCCTGCATCCTGTCCTCTGCTTGTTCTGGATTTCGTTTTGGTGCGTTTTGCCATTGAACATAAGAAGAGGCCTTAGAGAGTCCCTGAGCGGTTTGTCAAACCAAGGAAAACGAACGAACGGACACTAAATTCTACACAAGCACTGCAGAGCGTTATAAAGCGTCTGATTCGTTTACAATCGTCATTGTTAAATAAATCCTGTTCAACAGCTTTGTAAACATGCATGTGTGATCTGAATGTGTCAGGGTCGCTTAACATTATCTAACCCGAGTGTTCATACTGCATGCCATGCGCTAGAATCTGAGCGATACATTCTCATTCGGACCACGGTTATAGGTCCTATTATTCAATTTTGGGGGTTATATATGTTCATAACAGTTCATGAGATTGTTGTGATGCTGGCGACACTGAATCCAGATGGGAAATGTGATCATAAAGGGCATGAAATGAACTGAATTTAGTATGTGGGAGGGTTTGGTTGCGTCTGCCACTTGGGAGGCGCGCTCTGTATTTCCGGCGTGTTGTGATGTCCGTTGGGCGTCAGTCTGTCCTGAAAAATGTACAGGTTGTTGCTGGCTGCGATGGCGATGATGTTCTCTTTGGGATGCCAGGCGGTATGGAGGATTTTCTTCCTGAAGTCCAGACTGTCCACGCTGACGTCCGTCTCTTTCTGTTTCTTGCCCACGCACACACGCCGCGGCTGCAGGACCGCCCGCCGCTTGCACACCTCCCGACTGGCCTCCAGAGTCACGTCACGCAGACTCGCCCGGTCGAACATTCGGAAGTAGTTGTTGTAAGCGCCTGTCATGATCACGCTGCAGAGGAAGAAGAGAGGGATTGAGAGGGAACAGACTCAGAGCAGCTGGATCCGCTCGGGTTATGTTTCAAAGGTCAAAGGTGATGTTTTGAGGGTGATTGGCCTCACCTGTCTGTTCCGTTCCAGGCACATTCAAACTTGTCAAAAATACAATCGCTTTCATACAAAGAGCACAATTTGGTTCGCAAGTAGTCGTGGACCTAAAAACACAAGCAAACATGAGAATTCTGTACAAAAACATTAGAGTTAAGGTTAGTCAGGTTTAGTACAAGTCAAGCTTCTTTATATATAACTGTATAACAGGAATGTTGCTTGTAGCTGTATAAACTGTACTTTTCCTGCTTTTCAATAGAGAATGAAAGGCATTTTTAAAGATTTTACCTTACTTTTTGTCCAACCACATCAAGATTCTGTTACATTTCATCAAAGAAATGTTACTGTGGTTGCCCTCACTTTTGCTTGATGATTTGTTTAGATTTATTTATATTGTACAGGCCTGGGTGTGGCTAGAGAAATTTAACTCAGGTGTGATAAACCACAGTTTTAACAGGGGGGCAAACATTTCTTCACACAGGGCCATGTAGTTTTGGGTTTTGTTTTCCCTTAATAATAAAAACCTTCATTTAAAAACTGCATGTTGTGTTTACTTGTGTTATCTTTGACTAATATTTAAATTTGTTTGATGATCTGAAACATTAAAGTGTGACAAACATGCAAAAAAATAAGAAATCAGGAAGGGGGCCAACACTTTTTCACACCACTGTATATATATAAAATCACTAGAAAAATGAAATAAATAAAAAAGAACAATAGTAACAGATATAAGAAATATATAAGATTTACCAAATTGTAAGGTAAATCTACTTAATTTTACATTATATAATGTGCATATCGCTGTGTATATGTATTTTAGTATAATTGATATACTATTATAGTATTTCATATTTTACTAGCTGTTATTTTTTCATTTTATTTGAAGTTTTAGTAATTTTTGTCATTTTTATATATTTGCGAGTATTTTTATTGTTATAATTATTCCTATTTAGTTTTAATTTATTTTAATTTTAGTTGTCATCATTTTAGTACTTTAAACTAATTTTGAAGTTAGTTTTCTTTTTCTTTCTTTTTTTAGTTTTTTAATATTTAGATGTATTTGTATTTTAAGTTCATTTTAACTAACAACAATTATTTTTGATAACAGTTTTAGTTTTATTTAACAATAGCAACATTTAATATTTTTTTATAATAATTTATTTTAATTATATTTATTTTTAAATAATAATGTATACTTAATAGAAGGCAGAAACTTTAAACTTAATACAAAGTAAATATTTTCCACATATTTTAATAATTAATTTTAGCTTTAGTGCAATAAATATATAAAAATCCATTTTATGTTGCAAACAACATTTTATCTTCATAATATCACACCTATTTCTATTTTTACAGGAATGAGTCTCAGAATTAAGAACCACTGGTAGCACCATTGTGGTTGTACAAGAAACACAGTATTGCAATGGTACTTTTTCTTATTTTTGTGTTAGTGAAGCCAAACCAGCTTCATATGCACTGAGAAGCTTGCATATTTTCTCACTGAAACACTGTGAGTTTGTGTATAAGTGTGAGTGAGTGAGGAGGTGAGAGACCTGGTATGTCTCCACTGGTTTATTTTCCATGTTGAGGTCCCAGACTTTAACGGTGAGGTAATCTCTAGTGAGCAGGTAGCGGCCGCTATGACTGAACTTCACATCTGACACTGAGGAAACGATCTCGGAGAAGAACGATCGGTGGGATGGATCCGCTGCTTCTTCAAACACTAATGGAGTTTGCACATATACACACACGACATTACAATATAAAAATATAAACTATTAGGACATTAATACTATAACAAGTAAACCACCTTACATTAAATACTGACAATGGCAAATTGGGTTTCAGATCTGGAAGTTTAAGTGATTTATTTTTTTGTACTTCTATTTCTTGACCGTTGTTTTGTTTTGATCTCTCCCCTGCATTTCCGCGTTCGTCACTTCTGAGCGGCGCATGCCAAGCTGACCTCATACGTCATCCGCCCGGAGCTGTTTCCGTGTACAACAGTGAGCGCAAGCTACATTAAAGTGATTATTACGTTTTGAATATGGATATTTTTCTTACAAAAACGCATCGATTCGCTACAGAAGGCCCCGGAGCCGTGTGAGACACTTTTTTTTAATGGATGGGCGCTTTTTATTTAACTTCTTTTGGACTGATGCATGCAACACCCGTTGAGTGTGTTTAAACAGCTTGAAAGATCAAAGAAATTTTTAATATAACTCCGACTGGATTCGTCTGAAAGAAGGAAGTCATATACACCTAGGATGACTTGAGGGTGAGTAATTTATGGGCTAATTTTCATTTTTGGGTGAACTTACCCTTTAAGTTACATTTTATTTAACCTAAAACCCAGATTTTTGAGAAGACTTGTAATGTGGGTGTTTTAGTGGATATGTTCTGGGCTCAACATCCTTGTAAGTCTTGGAACAGCACTCTGAGTTCAGGGCTAGTTAATGGTTATGGTTGACAGGAATGTTGTTGCAAGACCAACAAAGTATGTTCATCCAGGAAAATGTCCTGCTTGGCGGTATCTTGTATTACATGCGTATGCGTGGCTCACGTTTGGCATGTTGGTCACAGAGTGCGCTGGCTCTCATGTCGCAGAGGCGTGTGGTTCCTGTGCTGCTGCTGAAGGCCAGCAGGTGGCAGTGGTGAGGGTGAAACTCGGCCACCGTGATCACCTCACTGAGGTCCTCCATGTTTTCTGGCTTCAAATCCACAATATCTGAGAGAAATTCACTACTGAGGAAACCCAACACTCAATTTTATAACACCCCGTATTCATAACATTTTTAAAGGCCAGTTCACAGCAAGGACGATAAATATAACGATAAATTTCAATTCAATAAATTTAAAAATCATACAACAACAGGGAAGTCCACAGCACAACTATAACAATAACAACAGAGAAAATATATCAATATCGCATATCGATGAACGATAAAAACATCAACAGGCAATCAGAATCTACTCGACTTTTAAGGGCCTTTACTGTTAAGTATGGAAGCCTGTTGCAGCCACTGAATAAAAAATAAAACAAGGTATTTGTGATTTTATCTCACAATTCAGACTTTTTTTTCTCGCAATTGCGAGTTTACATCTCAGAATTACGAGATACAAACTCACAGCTGTGAGTTATAAAATCAGAATTATGTGATATAAACTCACAATTGTGAAAAAAATCTGAATTGCGAGATATAAACTGTGAATCTCCCAATTCTGACAAAAACGTTGTTGTGAGATATAAAAAACTCGCAATGTCTAGATATAAACTCACAATTGCAAGAAAAAAAGACAATTAACTTGAATTGTTTTTTGGCAGAAATGGGCCTCCATAGTTAAGGTCCATAAACAACACGAAAAATAACTATATAATGATAACAACCACTATAACTATAAAGTTTTAATAATCATTCGAATTCTATGAGAATAGGGAAATCCCCGCTACAACTATATTATGATTACGACACAAAGCAACAGTATTGTTAGAATTAGTATCAAAATTATTTTTTTCCAGCTGATGAACGATAAAAAACATTCAAAGCCAATAAGAATCCACTTGACTTTAAAGAGCTCGAGCATTTAAAGCAACAGACGAAAAACTGCAGTGTGTGCTTAAAATAAACAGAGCGCTACCACCCACTGGCGTGGAATATAGTCATATATACATAGATTCCACAATCGACCGCTCCAGACATGCTAATGCATCTGCCATCTTGGAACGGTCACCATGTCGTCACTCATAGTGAAGAAGAAATGGGATAACATTTCACAGGTGAGAATGTATTGGTTTGTGTTTTTATATGTATTAACTCAATATTACAGGTTTTTAAACTAAGGTAACTTTTTAATGACGTGTTAGCTAACAGCTTTGTCTTGTATTGTGTTAGTGTAGCAAAATCATCCACTGAAGTCTATTGCAGATATAGATAATCATGCATGCGTAAAACTACGGTTGCAGATGCACAGACAACTTGCTCTGGAGTGTTTACATCTTTGACAATAGGGCAGACAGCTTACATACAGCAGCCTATAGAAACAGCTGCTAATGAGAAATCTATGCATATTTACATCTGTGGCTATCTTAGCAAAATGCTTTCTTCAATATTTCCTCTGAAAAGATGTTTGGTGCCCAACATGTTAGAAACTGCATTTTTGCTTAATAAGCACAAATATAAAACCCCATATCTCTCAGTGATCTTATTTACAGTACGATGCATGAGGATACTGAAGCTGCGGTCAGTGATGTTGAGATTCCACAGGTTAATTCTCAGGTCGTCGGCGGACAGGTACGTCTCACAGTCACTGTTGACACTGATGGAGTTGATGTGATATGCATGTGCGTTAGCAAAAACACGCCGTGGGGACGCCTCCACCAGGAGATCCATCGGCCGCAGGACTGGGACCTGGCAATAAATTTAAAAATCATACAACAACAGGGAAGTCCACAGCACAACTATAACAATAACAACAGAGAAAATATATCAATATCGCATATCGATGAACGATAAAAACATCAACAGGCAATCAGAATCTACTCGACTTTTAAGGGCCTTTACTGTTAAGTATGGAAGCCTGTTGCAGCCACTGAATAAAAAATAAAACAAGGTATTTGTGATTTTATCTCACAATTCAGACTTTTTTTTCTCGCAATTGCGAGTTTACATCTCAGAATTACGAGATACAAACTCACAGCTGTGAGTTATAAAATCAGAATTATGTGATATAAACTCACAATTGTGAAAAAAATCTGAATTGCGAGATATAAACTGTGAATCTCCCAATTCTGACAAAAACGTTGTTGTGAGATATAAAAAACTCGCAATGTCTAGATATAAACTCACAATTGCAAGAAAAAAAGACAATTAACTTGAATTGTTTTTTGGCAGAAATGGGCCTCCATAGTTAAGGTCCATAAACAACACGAAAAATAACTATATAATGATAACAACCACTATAACTATAAAGTTTTAATAATCATTCGAATTCTATGAGAATAGGGAAATCCCCGCTACAACTATATTATGATTACGACACAAAGCAACAGTATTGTTAGAATTAGTATCAAAATTATTTTTTTCCAGCTGATGAACGATAAAAAACATTCAAAGCCAATAAGAATCCACTTGACTTTAAAGAGCTCGAGCATTTAAAGCAACAGACGAAAAACTGCAGTGTGTGCTTAAAATAAACAGAGCGCTACCACCCACTGGCGTGGAATATAGTCATATATACATAGATTCCACAATCGACCGCTCCAGACATGCTAATGCATCTGCCATCTTGGAACGGTCACCATGTCGTCACTCATAGTGAAGAAGAAATGGGATAACATTTCACAGGTGAGAATGTATTGGTTTGTGTTTTTATATGTATTAACTCAATATTACAGGTTTTTAAACTAAGGTAACTTTTTAATGACGTGTTAGCTAACAGCTTTGTCTTGTATTGTGTTAGTGTAGCAAAATCATCCACTGAAGTCTATTGCAGATATAGATAATCATGCATGCGTAAAACTACGGTTGCAGATGCACAGACAACTTGCTCTGGAGTGTTTACATCTTTGACAATAGGGCAGACAGCTTACATACAGCAGCCTATAGAAACAGCTGCTAATGAGAAATCTATGCATATTTACATCTGTGGCTATCTTAGCAAAATGCTTTCTTCAATATTTCCTCTGAAAAGATGTTTGGTGCCCAACATGTTAGAAACTGCATTTTTGCTTAATAAGCACAAATATAAAACCCCATATCTCTCAGTGATCTTATTTACAGTACGATGCATGAGGATACTGAAGCTGCGGTCAGTGATGTTGAGATTCCACAGGTTAATTCTCAGGTCGTCGGCGGACAGGTACGTCTCACAGTCACTGTTGACACTGATGGAGTTGATGTGATATGCATGTGCGTTAGCAAAAACACGCCGTGGGGACGCCTCCACCAGGAGATCCATCGGCCGCAGGACTGGGACCTGGACAATACAGTAGCTCACATCAGGAAACAAGTATGAAGAAGAGAAGAAAACAGAAGGAGAAATGCAACACACCTGTAGAGTGGTGACTGTAGAGAGGTCCTTCAGTCTGCCCTCCTCATCTCTCAGATTATAGCCTTCTGCTCGCTTATCTCTCTCACTCACCTTCCACAGCTTTATGGTCTTGTCTGGAAAGAAATACAAAAAGTATGTTATTCTTAAAGCAACAGTACGGTGTTTTGGCATTGAGTGATATTAGGTTGTGTTAGCAAGGGTTTCAGCTCTTACCATTGGTGGCGAGGAGGAAGTGGGCGGGGTTATGCAGAGGCAGCCAGCGAATCTTATTGATTCTCTCCTCAATCTCTAAACTTTTCAGGTAATCAAACTCAGGCTCATGACTCTGAAATGTACTATAAACATTATATTCGCCCTAAAAGAGAGAGGTAAGGGGACAAGATAACAGAAAATAGTGACATTAATTAACTGTCCACAACAAAATTAATGGACTTTTCACATTTCCAGAGAAGCGGAAGTTAACTTCTATAGTGGTGAATGGAAACTACAACAAATATTATTTTTGCATTCCCCCCCAAAAAAAAAATCACAATAAAATGTCTATGACTCTCCAAAAAGTGGGAAAAAAATATGTAATAAAAAAATGCAAAAATGCAATATTTTTAAGAATGGAAATATACCAAATTTTGCTAGATTCACAATGTTAATAACTGCGGAAAAGCATCATCACAAAAGGGTCCATGATTTGTTTTTTCTTAATATTGCTGCTTACTTCCTGTACTGAGTAAATATTATAATAATAGGTTAAACTAGGTAACATTTAAAATATTATTTATTATAATAAATGTAATTTATATATAAATGTAAAAAATAATAATAAAAAATATATCTAAAACAATTTAATTATAAAAGGCCCTGTGAAATCTAAATCTAAGCATTGTGGTTTTGTGCACTTTTAGGTCATCTGTATGCAAAAAGTTAACAAAATAAACATAAACAAGATTTTAACATTTATTGGGTCTCATTGTAATAAAATGAGGGGAATAAACTTGGGTGTAAATCATTCATAAAACAATTCTTACATAAACTGCCAAAACTGACAAGGTATGTAAGGATGATAATCTACAATGATAATGTCTCCTCCCAATATATTATAAATACCACCTGCTCCAACTCACAACAGCAAGAAAATAATGGTGCTACTGATGTAAACTGAAAGTTACTGACTGAAAAAAAGAAAAGAAAGAAAACAAACAAACAAAAAATGCTTCAGTGTCCTATTCCAGCTTCCTGTTTCAATAGGACGTTTGTGAAAAAGGGAACATAAAAAATGTGTTATTCAGAGATTTGTCTGACCTGTGGTTCTCTCTGAAAGATGACAACTCTCCCACCCTTATCACCCGTGGCCAAGAACTCTCCGGTCTGGTTGAACTCCACCGTAGAGATGACATCCGCTGGATCACAGACAAGAATGAAAAAGAAAGAAAAAAATGTCTTTTTGTTTTGGTAAAATCCTGCACAGGCCTCTATTTATTGTTTAAGATCAGATGTGCCTCACACTGCTCTGCCAAAGTAAACTAATGCAATATTTGTATTTGAACATAGATCCAAAAACAGCATAAATGCAAAGGTGCATGTTCACTTTGTTAATACAAAGGTCAAAGGGTTTTTCTGTCTAGTGTCTAGTTACATCACTAGTCAAAAGTTTGGACATTTCAGTTTTTATTATGACTAATTTTCGCATTTTAAAACAATGGGAAAGTCATCAGAATTAGCACAAATGAAAAAAAAAAGGAAATTATGTATTAATCAAAATGGTAAATCGGAATGATCATACTTTGACTCATCATTCAGCTCTGTACACCAGGGTTATTATAGTTAAACGAAAAAAAAAAAAGTTAAAAAAAAAGTTTAAGTTAAAAAAAATAAAAAAAATAAAATAAAATATATATATATACAACTTATACGAAAGATGACAACTCTCCCACCCTTATCACCCGTGGCCAAGAACTCTCCGGTCTGGTTGAACTCCACCGTAGAGATGACATCCGCTGGATCACAGACAAGAATGAAAAAGAAAGAAAAAAATGTCTTTTTGTTTTGGTAAAATCCTGCACAGGCCTCTATTTATTGTTTAAGATCAGATGTGCCTCACACTGCTCTGCCAAAGTAAACTAATGCAATATTTGTATTTGAACATAGATCCAAAAACAGCATAAATGCAAAGGTGCATGTTCACTTTGTTAATACAAAGGTCAAAGGGTTTTTCTGTCTAGTGTCTAGTTACATCACTAGTCAAAAGTTTGGACATTTCAGTTTTTATTATGACTAATTTTCGCATTTTAAAACAATGGGAAAGTCATCAGAATTAGCACAAATGAAAAAAAAAAGGAAATTATGTATTAATCAAAATGGTAAATCGGAATGATCATACTTTGACTCATCATTCAGCTCTGTACACCAGGGTTATTATAGTTAAACGAAAAAAAAAAAAGTTAAAAAAAAAGTTTAAGTTAAAAAAAAAAATAATAAAAAAAATATATATATATATATACAACTTATACTTGTTTTATTTCAGCTAGCTGCTAAGGAAGCATTTCTCATTTTCATACAGTTTAACTTTATGTACTAAAATTACTAACAAAACTGAAATAAAAAATAACAAAACGTAACAAAAATGACAAAACCACAACAAAATCACTAAATTTTTTACTGAAATTAAATGAAAAGGAAAATATAAAAAATAATTCAAACCGTTAAAAATTGTAATAGTCTCTGATATTAAAATAACACTGCTTGCTCTCTCACAAAACCTCATGAGTTGCATCATGGGATGGTTGTAAACAGTATTGAACTAGTTCCCACTTGTTGACTGCTTCATATAAAGATGCTTATCATTGTCTAGTAATTTCAAGTATTTCAGCAAAGCCTTACAAAAAACAAATTCAGTCAAGTATGTCCAAACTTTTGAGTGGCAGTGTAGCTAGCTACTGTGAGTGTTTGTAGTGTGTGATTGTGTGTGTGTGTGTTACCCTCTGTGTACTCTGGCTCCAAGGCTGCGAGATCGGAACAGAGAACCGGGCTCAGCATTCTGGGACAGAACCAAGGGCGGGGCTGCAGCTCTACCAATCCTGCAAAGAGGCGGAGTCTCATGATGAGCCTTCAAATCTGAGTGGAAGGGTTACAACATGCTACCGGTGTTTTGATGTCTGCCAAAGAGACTCTCTCCTCTGCTGGAACGATTCCAGACACTGATATTCAAACATGCAGGTCACATGAGCGGCAGAAGAGATAAACCACAACCATCCAGATATACAGTATAGTCCTGATGTATTACAATGGGCCTAGATTTGAGATTAGTGGATCTAATCCTGTTCTACATCAATATAAACATCAGATTATCTGGGGGGGGATATCCAAGATCTGCCACATATGTATATAAACATCTCCATCTGTTCAATAAGCCATTAAAGAGGATCACAAAGCACATTTATGCATGTAAACATTCAGACAGCATGCATGAACGAAAAGGAAAATTCAAATGAATAACAAGACATACTTAGAAAAACACTCTTTTACCTTCTGTCACATTGCTGTGCTAACAATCGTGTTCAGTTGCTGATGTATTCATTCAGTTCCATTGCTGTGTTGGTTTGTACAAAAGGTGTCTGTGAAGGTGCGTGTTTGTTTGATGGATGAGCAGCACACCATCCATTTTTCAGCCATCAGCATGAAGGTCTGCTGCAAAGCGTCATGGGCTTTATGAGCAGTAAGTCCACACGAAGAGCCTGATGATATAAACTCCTCAGAAAAACGCTGAAGGAAAAGCACAATCTCTTGGCTCAGCTGGGATGCATCTACACTCGTCCGTTTAATTCATTCCTGTTGGGTTTTCCTGAAATCAGAGGTAAACACATGACAGCTGGACTTGTGCGTAGGCATACTGATGTTTGTGCAAAAGAATGAGGGAGGGGTAAAATTCTGTCTGTTCTGCTGCATAGACTCCTCCTCCAAAGCATATCACAGAGAGATGCTGAGTGACATGCTCCCATCCAATCGTGTCACTGGTCAGGGAGTTGTGGCCAATGAGAGAGCGGCTCAGCATCACAGTGAGCAGCAACCCCCCACTCCAGCCTCATACTGATACAGCTACAAGAGCGGTTGCTTGGTAACCGCATCTGTCTGTGAGAGTCGAGGAGGAAACATGAGGCATTGGCATGTGGATGTGAGAAATCTGTTCTGTAAGACAGACAGAATGGACTTAAAATAACTGCTTTCAGGGTTCCTTTTGTTTGACAGATTTGACCAAAACCAACTTAAATGGAAGAAATACATTTAATTTCTTAATAATAATACTGTCACATTTAATGTCCATTGATGATGAAGATAGGTGAAGTTTCAAATTAGTAGCATAGTTTATTAAACAAAGCACACTCAGGTAATCCAATAAGATAAAACACAAGTGAAACAGCACGCTATGCACAACCAATACCGGACACTGAACTGAAGAAACTGAGGGAATAAATACACAGTGGTAAAGAGGGACAGGTGAGACTCTAATCGATTAAACATTGAGACAATGAACAACTATGGCAACCAAGGAAACAGAAACTAAACACACTGGAACTACCCTGTTGAAAAAAAACAGCATATGCTGGTTAGGTATGTTTTGAAGCATGGCTGCTGTTTTGAGCTGGTCCTAAGCAACTAGCTCCTGCTCAGGACCAGCTTAGTACCAGCACATGACCAGCTTAAACCAGCTCATGACCAGCAGCCATGCTTCAAAACATACCTAACCAGCATATGCCGTTTTTTTTCAATATGGTGAACACAGGCAAAACAGGACAAAAGAATATCAAAATGATGGTCCATGGACACAAACACAGAGAATTTGTGACATAAATTACAGTTCTGGAGGTTGGTGGAGCAGAGGCAGACCGGGATGTAGGGCCAGGTTCAGGAGGAGGAAAAGGAGAAGGGGACAGGACTAGAGCAGGGTACCAAGGTACAAGGTGCCAAGGTGCTACAGCGTACACGCCATGGATGAGCGCTTTGTAAAAATGAACGGATTGATTATTCAGCTGCGGGCGCCATCTTCTGGCGAGATGCGG